ATATATATATATATACATGAATTTGAAAAAAGGTTGGGGATGCCTAAAACTGTTAATTCAAAGGATTGTGCAATTCAATATGTTTGCTCCATGGAAGGATGAATAAATTATTTTGCAGTATTAACAGCGGTGGAGTTGGAACCTGCTTAATGCTAATGCTACAGTCATCACTCTCTAAAGCAGCCTTTTTAAATCAGGGTGCCCAGTCACCCAGGGGTGCCTTGAGGTTTCTTCAGGGGTGCCTTGGAAAAATGTCTACAAATTGCCCAAAATTTGTATACAAGCCAGCGTGTGGAACAAGCCTGCCTTTTAGTTACACAAAGCCACAATTTTTCATTGTGCACTTTTACAACCTTCTAGCTTCCGGCTTCCTGACAACCAATTACATCATCAGTTGATAAGGAGGATGTCAGTTGCCTGCGCAGCATCCTAGTTTGACCCTCCCCTGCCCCTTTCATTCAGTGCTGAGGTCACATTAGCTCAGTGATGGAGAAAAATGGAGGAACAAGAAAAACATTGGCATATTAGTCAGTACCAGTGTGCAAAAGTGTATTTGCGTAGGAAAAATAAATCACCTCTGACGTTGGGTGTCCTACGTTTGTAGATTTTGCTGCGTTATATAAAACTATTTGGAATAGTTTTTTACATTTTAGAATGGGGTGCCTCAAGACTGACAATAATTTTAAAGGGTGCCTTGGGACTGTCCATAATTTTAGAGGGTTCCTTGACATTGTCCATAATTTTAAAGGGTGCCTTGACTAAAAAAAGGTTGACAAACACTGATCTAAATTTCCAGACATTTAAACAAGCAGGATTTAAAAATAGTTATAATTTGTTGTTAAGCATTGCAGCTATCCACTTGGTCTCCGTGCACATTAAATAAAGTGTAAAAAGATTCCAGACATAATTTAGACAGTTCCTTCTTGGGTACTACTGAACACAAAGTGCTCAATGAAAATGGTCTCATAATTTTAGATATTCCTTGGTCCAGCCATTAATGATTATGACAGCAATGCATTTTACCCCAAGGGATGGGCCTTCATTATGGTGTGTGGGTATCCTGTGGACAGTTATCCCTTCCTTATGCACTTATAATCCCTTTTCTATATAGCAATAGAATAATTAGCAGCAATTTAACCCAATGTAACTTTCTCATAATATAGAAGCTGAATTTGCAATAATAAATGGAAAATATGTATCTAACAAAAAAAACAGGTTGATAGCAAAATTTAATAGGCACTATAAAAGCAATCACCTCAAAACCTTTACATTAAATATAATAAATATCAAAATAATTTGTTGATAAAGTGAATGCTCAAAGTAGGCATCTTTGACCCCCTTATTATACCATAAATAGACCTTTTGTATATATTTTCTATTTATATATATATTAAATGTGCAGTAGCATTATAGTGCTGATAGACTTGTTTAATTAATATAATTGTATCAATATTATAAAGTGCTATGATCAGTCCTGCCCATGTAACAGTGTATCATACAAACACATTTACAGTAGATATATTGTTTAGTTGTACTGTATTGTGGGCTCAGTTAGTTGCACTTGGGGCAAATGTTTTCAGTCTTCTCACTGGCAACGAATCGATATACTGCTACCCCATTAGGAGAAGCCTCATAACACCATGCAGAATTGGCAGTGGATGTTTTTATTTTCCAACAAATTAAAACTAGCTACAAGTTCTTTCTTTGTTATTACATTATATTGTTTCTTGTTACAAGGTCATATTATTTTAAAAAACCATGTATATAAATATACAGTTCTGTAAGATCTTTGTTTATTACATATAATTAAAATTTCTTTACAAGGAAATGAATGAAAGCATTTTTTTATAATTCTTTTTTTTTTTTTTCAATATTAGTAAAGGACTAAGTTTAATTTACATATTTATACACGGAGCAATGTACTCTGCTAAACACACCACAATTGCATTCTCATCCTTCCAGTGTGAACCATGTGTAGTTACCATCCTAACAACTGAGACGTCTACCTCCTTTTTTTTCTGTTGTCATGAGATCACAGATGAACTCTAATAAAGGTTGATTGTTAGTACCCACAATTTTTGAATCACTATTCTGGATTCTTTTAAAACCTACAGTTTAAATTCAGTCTGTTCACACAATCCTCTAACACCTACTTTTTTCTCTAAGCAGAGGGATTCCAAAAGTCATGCTGGCCATGCATATTTGTAGTGGTTTACCATGTATATAAATATACATTTTTGTTAAGATCAAGCTTTTTTTATTTAAAATTAATATTTTCTTTACATGGTGCATGGAAACTGATTTTGTAATGAACAACCTGCACATTTGGATTTGCTTTCTTTCCTCCTTTTTTTGTTTTGTCCCAATCAAATTTGATATTAACCAATTTCTAGTTTGAATAAGAATTTTATATATATATATATATATATATAAATTCTGCGCTCAGGTGCAACAATGAGTAGTAGCAGCTATCATCAAGAGTAATGATACAAACTCTAAAAGATAAATGTAAATAAAACTGTGCAATCTCATACAAACAAATATAATGCAAATAAAAAGTTCCCATGAAAAGTCCACCATAAAAAGTGCAAGTTCAGTGACGTCCTCATGGAAAAAGGTATCTTCCAAATCAATGTGAATCAAGG